TTTTAAAATGTGCATGAAAATCTTCCTTGCCCCTGCCCAAAGCTACAAACTGATTTCTCCATTTGGGATAATACTAATTCATTAGTTCATTTGCAAGACCTGTGATCGAACTGAGAATATTTCTAGGCATATAGTTCAAGATTTTGGGTGGTTTAAATACACGGTTGTTGTTATAGTGTAGATTATGATTGGAGAGATATTCTGCAAGCAAAGCAATGGCTGAGTTTCTGGCTACAGTATAGTCATTTGGGTTTACTTTAGTAGAACTGAGATGACAACACACAGAACTAAGAATTTCTTTTTAAAGATTGTTCTAGTGTTCAGTACCCACACCAAAGAGATCTGCTGTCCTTGCAGATGATAATTCTCCCTCTGGCTTTCTATTTATGCTGACTGTGAATATTTAACAACATGTCATGTTTCTCACTTATTTTTTTAAAGTTTTTATATGCATCGTGTCATTTCATAAGAATAACTTCAATCAATAATTGGCTGTTTCATTAACCTGAGTGAATAGCAAGCTCAAACACAAAGACACCAGTTGCATGGGAGCTATCTAGCCTTTGACTTCACATGTGTTGAACCCACATTTTGCATTTCAACCTAGTTTAAACCTAGTCTCGCCTGTGCCCCATAGATACTTTGGACTTCCATTCCCATCAGCTTCAGCCAGAGTGGCCAATAGTCAGGAAAGCTGGGCATTGTGAGGACTGAGCGAAGATCATCATTCTATCCCAATCTCATCCTAGGCATGCGGTGAACTGTTATGGCGATTAAAGAATTTGCTTTTGAACCGCAGTGGCTAGTTGACACATGTATGGACAGTATGTGATTTCTCAACGGTCGATGTCTCACGGCTGTGTGCTTACTGACTCCTCAGAGAAGCACTGAGTCAGAGGCTGGGTTGAGAATGATATAAAGAATGGAGAATGGATTAATCATCTGTACATGGTCAAAACAACTTCCTTTTCTGAGTTGATAAAATAAACACTCCACAAGGCCATTGATGTAAGAGATTATGGGACATAATTGTCCTAAGCTGACAGCCCTTCTCGATTGTTTGCATAAAGGAGAGGGTGGAGCCTTTGGCTTCCCTGTCAGCCCCACCCCCTGGCTATTCACTCACAAAAAGGGCATCTGTGCAAAAGAACCTACATGTGTAAAGCTGGCATGTGTGGGTGGCAGGAAGCGTGGCCTGAAAGCTGATAGACTTGCTTTGTGTCCTTTCGAGAAGATGAACTCAAGGCAGTGTACTTTCAATGAGAAGCCGAATAGCAGCTTGTTCAGAGGCTTAATGAAGGCAGCAGGTCAGGCAGGGTGGCACGGGTACTACCTCTCGGTGGCTCTATAGCTGCAGCCTAACATGAGAAGATGCAGCCAGCCGTTAATATAGCTGTGTGGGGGAGAACAAGATATGTAATGCCAAGAAGTATCCCTGAGGTTTTGGCACTATAATATCAGGTCTGAAATAGTCCATCTGAGCATAGGAACCTTGGAATTTAAACACCTCTTTATAATACCTTTAAAAATGCTTGTTGGCTTGGGGAAAGGTTTGTTGTTGGATTGGGTATCTGCAAGAGGAGCTTGAAAAATCGTCAGTATCTGGAATTTCTAGACAATCAAGCTTTCTGTGAGTTTAACTGCCACAGACTCCTATGGAGCCAACTCAAGCTTGTTCTTTCAAGTGAACTTGCAAACCCGATTCCCAGCTCCGTAAGTGCCTGCTGGTTTCTTCTTTTGCCTTGTCTATCATCCTTTTCCCCTTTGTTTATTTGTTTCATTCATCTGACATCACTGCTCATTTACCTTAGTGTTTGGCTAGTGGATTTCTTTTTGATAAGCCTTTTAAAGTGCCACTTTTATGTTTATCTCATGCTGGATTAAGGTTTGATGATTTTCTAATTGAAGAACATGTTTGTAATAAAATACATCTGTCGCACATCGGCAAGAAGCCCTCTTTTGCGCAGGAGTCTAATCCATTTATTTTATGGACTCCCAGTTCTCTGGAGGATGTTATGAGCAAAGCACATTGCTCAGGTTTATTGCCTTTCATGTAGCAAAACAATGCTTAAAATCACAAGTAGGCCAATGGAGTGATCTTGTCTGATTTGCTGAAGAATGGACCCCCTGCATAAAAATTGTATGCTCAACACTGGACAGAAGTCCTATCACCTTGATATATTGTACAACGTAAGTTGCAATAAGAGTACAATCCAGTGCATGCTTAGATAGAAAAAAAAAAACACTCCTACAATTCCCAGCATGTTCCACCCCACCATGCTGGCTGGGGCATGCTGGGAATTGAAGAATGTTCTATGTCTAAGCAGGCATAAGGTTGTGTCCTAAGGCTGTAAGCATTATTTTTCTGGTCCAGCAAGGGCAGTTGGCAATGCCTATGTCAGCAAGGCTCCTCATCCTTTGCAGGCTGCCTTTTGAGCATTGTAGGAGCTGTCTGTGGTGCTGAACTCCATCTCCAAAATCGTTTTCTCTCAATGGGGCACTGCAGGTAGTTCCAATAAAATAAAATAGCTGCAGTGCACAAAAAGCCCTTCTCATATAGGAACCACCACCGTGGATACGGTGGTGTCTAATTCCAAAGAAACATCAATAGGTCCAGGCTGTAAGGATCTGTTTTCATTAGCTATGTGATTGTTTCTAGTATTTGAATGCATATATTTCTTGTGGCACATTTGGATGGTAGTTTCCCATCTTTGGAAGAACTCTTAGCTCAAGTCCTCTGGGAAAGCATGGAAGAGAGCATTTGCATGAAGTTCAGTGCATTCAGTGAATGCAAGTGTTCAAGATTACGCCTACCATCACCCTTTCCGCTTCTGACCTGATTGGTTCCATGTGTCATTTGAAATGGGCAATGATTTCATTTAAGGATGGGCAACTCTCTCCATTTTTGTTCCTAGCTTTTTTTGCCTGGGATGTTTCTCAATCTGTTTCATTCCACTTATGCATGAGTTTGCAACTTCTTTCTTTAACAAAAGTTCATATGAAAATTGGAATGCATTGTCACGCACACTCCTTCTAAACTCAACATTTTCCCCAATATACCCTATTGTTGCAAGCAGTTTTTCCATGTATAATGCTCCCTTTGTTCTCTTCCCCTCGTATATGCACATTTTTATGAGCATTTTTCCATCATATGCATTTTTGTATGCATTATCTTGTTCAGGGAACTACATTGCAGAATTTTGATACAGGCACATAACAAAGGCTAACCGCTTTCTGGTTCACATACTGATTTTGGAAGTGTTTACTTAGTAGGTTCTTATCAAAATGTGAACTGAACAAAATTCCCCCCTATCTCTAGTTAGATTGCTGGAGGGAAAAAGAAGCACTTCCCATACAGCTCGAAGCAGTGCATAATCAATACACAGAAGAGTCAATGGACCACAGCAGCAAACCTTGACTTACCCTGCATGTGATGAACCTTGTCCATAGAGGATCCGTGTGTGCAAACTGAGCCTGCTTTGACGCTGTCTGTGCAGCATGCTGTGTTGTTTACAAACTGACATAAGATAAGGCTATGAAGGACCATCATGGGAAATAGCACGTCTCGTTTCAGGAGCACTCAATTCTAAGTGCTGAGCAAAGGGCAGAGGCAAAAAATAAACCTCTTGTCATCGTTGTCAAAGATTAATTGATAGAAGCAAGGGAGAAGGACCCTTGGCAGAGAAACTGACTGCCATCTCCTATGCCTTGGAAGAGGGGCTTAGTTATGGTGGGATTAATGCTGCGATTAATTGGGTAAGGGAGAGTCAAAGTCAAGGCTGAGGGTGAAGAGCCCAGGCCCTACACAGTGAGTACCAGCTTCTTCCACTTAAGTACACCTTTAAAAGAAGATGAAGTGAGTGTCCCATAGTGATGCTTAGATGCTGCTTTATATTTACAATCTATGGCCTTTTAAACCAGGGTGTTGCACTTGTTTCAGCCTCAGGTCCACATTTGACTTTGAAGACTCTCTCCGCAACAGTCACAATCCAGGAGTGAGCAGGGCTGAAGGCAAGGGTGGTGAGAGCCAAAATGTTAGTGTCCTTGTTTGGCTTAAAGCATTTCATACCAAACAAAGCCTCAGATGAGATATTCCATCCTTTTGGGATGGAGAGAAACCTTGTGAATTCTGGGAAACCATCAAACAATTGGTGGTTGGGGAGAGGGGGCGTAATCTGGAGAAGGTGCTGTGGTTACCTGGTGAATGGTCAAAGCCTCCACTGCAAACCCAGCAGGACTGAATTTGGCACACAGGCATGAAGTTCAGCACTCCTGCTTTTAATAAACCAGAGGACTAAGCTGCATCTTCTCGGAGTGGCTGGTAGGTTCAATGTCCTTGGGGCAGTGTATCCATTCTGGGCTATCAGCACTATTCATGGTGCTGAACCTATTTTGCTGATCGAGTTCAGCAACATGGGGCATTCCTTCAAAGCTCCAAACAAAAACACAGAGCAAAGAAAGCACTCCAATGACAATGCAGCCACCAGCTTTTACTGTTCTCCTCATAGCACATAGAAAGTTGCTTTCGATGCTGCCTGGGATATTATAATGCATGATATGTGGACATTAATGCTTATACTTTATTTCATGTGGCCTCTTTCTTCCCATGCTAGATTCCCTCTTCTTAGCTTAGGGAACTGATCATTTCATTATCAGTTGCAACATCCCCCCCCCCGCCCTTTTTAGGACAGTGAAGCTACACTTTAAGGACTAACTGAAAAAGAAATAAAACCAGGCAAAATCTGCCAAAAGAAAAGAAATATAGGCAGACTCTAGTATGCTTCTTCCTGAATAAAAGTGAACCCGACTCTGTTTCCTGCTTTACGTTGCCGTTGTCCAGCTGATTTCATGCAATGTTCAGATGATGTGCAATCTAATCTAATGGAGAGTGTTGAGCTGTGACTCTCTCCTAAACTATGAAATCCATTGTGGTAGGAATAGCTTAGCTAAACCCTGCTCACATCCCGGTAAGCAGACATATATTTTTGTATTTTTTATAGGTGGATACTGTGCAGACTACGCAGCCCCCTGGCCACATTGAGGAATCGTGTAAAATGAATGTATGTGCTCGTAAGTGAAATATTTATGAACAAAGCTCCAACTCTTAGTCTATGTTGGATCATAAAAAGACATGTGACCTGTGTTCAGCAATGTCATACTAAGAAATCGATTCCCAAGAGGCGGGGTCACTGCAAGGCTCAAAAGACATTTAAAGCAAAAGTTCATTATTTTTCAAACAGACTCCTGAATCATTCTTATTTTTTTAAGAAAAGAATATATATGTGCAAATGAGAAATTCAAATTACCTCTTGGGATGATGGTTTATTTGGGACTGATACTGAAACAAGAGATCCGAAGGGATGTGAGAAAGGTTTCTGTAAGGCAAGATTGTCAACTGTGGATGGACAGCTTCACTTACCACCTTATGTAGAAGTATGAATCGGAGAGCAAGACACCCTCCCTCTGCAAACTGCCTCTGAGAAGACCGGAATGCTGTCAAAGAATTTCATCCAATTAGTGTTTTAGTTAGTGACTGGGGAGAGACTGGAGGATGGAGATGAGTTCAAAATGCTTGAAGTAAGAAATTAGCTATGCTGTGTAGGTTTTAAATAAAATCCCTTAAGCATGTGCTAGATCAACAAAGAAAATGGCATCTATACCTCAGAACTGATTCTGGGAAAATACATCAGAACAAATCCCATCATTTAGAAATGTTGATGGAAAAATATGGATTGGACCCTCTGGGTGTGCTGAGTAAGATGTTCAAAGGTTATGTAAAGGAAGACAAACAAACAAACCCCTGTTATAGTCCCTGTCAGCAAACTGCAGTTTCAAGTCTTGATCTGCTGAACTATATGTATTTTAAAATGTGTCACTGCTAAGTCTTGGCTTATGTATGAGGCTAGGAAGGTTACAGTTACGGAATGAAAACGGTCTTTCCCAACTTGAACTACATTGCAAAAGCAGAAGGTTCCAGTTTATTTAAAAGGGAATTTGCATGACATGAGCATCCTCTTTGCATTCTGATGCTTGTTAAGCTTAATATGTCATAACAGTTCAAAGACTATATATATCTAATGTTTGTAGCCACGAGATGAAAGAATATATTTGAACACATTTGGAAGTTAGAAACATGGGCCTGGTTCTCAGGTAACAACCACCCATGGGTTCTTTAAACCATGGGTTGTTGGGGCCATGTGAGAGTGAGCAAACATACTGCTCACTGTGGCCTTGATGCATTTGCTTTGCATCTTTTCCTCAAGCAGTTGGTTTATGTCCCTTTGATGCAGACCTGGAACTCTGAGAAGTTGAAAGGCAAACAACCCAGAGTTTGACCCCATTGCTTAAAATCTTGGATTATTTGTTCTTCAACAACCCAGTGTTCTGAGTTTGGATTTTTCATCAAACCACCCAGGAATGGGGTAGGATGAGAAACTGGATACAAATCAGTGGTAAGTGAGTGGGAGGCAATGTCCTTGCTTTGCCCCTATGTGGTCTTGACAATCCATGGGCTAAACTCATGAATTGCCATTGCATCTGAACCAAGGAATTCAGTTGAATGCAGATGAAAGTATGCGAATGAAGCTGGCAGAAGATGAACTGCTAGGAGGAGAGGGAGCAAGAAAGTCATCAAGCCCCTGAAAAATCTTCCCTCAGGGTTTTGGAACCTTGTTGAATGAGGTGGGTGGTAGAGGCTTGGCGGGGGCTGAGTGGGAAGGTGAGTCTCCATAAATTGGGCCGAGCAGTCGGTCATTAATGGAGTCCCCACTTGCAGAAGATGACTTTGGCTGATTTCCAGGGATCTCTGTTTGCCCCTCAGCCCTCACACCGTAACCCATCCTCACAAGTGACTTGGAAAGCCGAGGAGACCATTCAGGAGAGGAGGGGCAAGTCTGCTCTAACCTGCATGCTTTTCTGTGGATCCAACTCCAATTGATTTCTGTTCTGGTAAAGAAAGGCTGATTCTCCCTTTTCCAAACAATCGGCTCATCCAGATAAAGTATTTTCATCAACCATGCAGGGACATTGGAAGAAGCAGCGTCTATTGCAAGGGTTTTGTTTTTACTCACTGCTTACCCTTCACCTGTAAATTCACCTTATTCAGATACCCGGTTTATATCTGATATATTTATATGAAGATATAATGTTGCATTCATTAATAAATTGTATACCTGTACAACTACTTGACTTCACAATATGCCTTTTCTGATATTCAAGGTTTGGTGTTGAAGATCACACTTTGTGGGGTGCACTCTTGCCAAAGTTAAGCATGTTCAAGTCCTTTTGATTCCAGTGGAGAATATAAGTTTTCCTGTTGTAAACACTGGAACATAAAAGTGCTTAATTTTGGTTTAATCACCCTTCCTGTTTGTTTACTATGCATTATTTCTTTTGAATTAAGTTCACATGTTCCTTACTAGTTCCCCCCTCCCCCCACACACCCTTTCAACTGGTGGTTTGTCCATTCTCAGGTGGTGGAATCTATGATACAGTAGAAGTTTTGACCTCTTTATTGTATTAAGAATATAGTATCAAATTTCAGAGTCTGTACACTTCTACTACATTGATTTTTTTTCTGTCAGCAAAATCAATAAGTAAAATTAATTTTTTTAAGTAATCTATTCCTTCAGTTTCATTTTTTTGGAATTGTTTTGTTGTCATTTGTATATTTCTGTTTTCTTAATCTTGAAGGTTTCTTTTCTTTATTTCTTTGGGGGGTTTTGAAAATATATAGATACAGAAACACATCAAGAGTTTCAGTAGTGCAGATAGAATCCACTATGGCATATTTATATAGGGAAAAGGAAAGAAAACTGTGATGAAAGAGAAAGAAATAGGGCAAGATTTCCACTGTTATCATTTGGCCTACTTCAAGGCGACCTTTGTATTGAATTCACCTAATTCTGGTCAGAAATCACAGAATCATGGACTCATGGAATAGTGGAATTGGAAAAGGTGAACAAGGCCATCGGGTCCTACCCATTACTTAGTGAAGGATTCTAAGTGAAAGCATCCCTAACAGATGGCTCTTGAATGTCCCCAATATGGGAGAACCCATGGCTTCCCTGGTCATTGGTTCCATTGTCATATTGCTCTAACACACATGAAGTTTTTGGCTGGGAAAACCAGGAGCTATAGGACTCTGTGGTCTCAACATGCACAGGAGTAAGAAAATAAGATAAGAGCCATGCTGAGTCAGATCAAGGGTCCATCTAGTCCAGCATTCTGGTCATACAGTGGCCAATCAGTTGCCCACAGGAGGCCTACAAGCAGGGCTTAAGTGCAGCAACCGTTTCACCCATTTTCCCCAGCAACTGATATATAGGGTACACGGTGTCTGATCTGAAGTTAGCATATACCCTTGAAGACTAATAGCCACTGATAACCTCCTCCATGAATTTGTCTGACTTCCTTGTAAAGCCATCCAAATTGGTATCCCTACACCTTGTGGCAGTGAATTCCATAGTTTACCTATGCACTGGGTGAAGAAGAACTTTTATTTGTCCCTTCCAACAATCAGCTTCGTCCGATGACCCCACATGCTTCTAATATTATGAGAAAGGAAGAAAAATGTCTCCCTATCCAATTTCTCTCCTTTCTCCTTACACTAGACAAATACAATAATGAAACAAATGGCGCAAGGAAGCAAAATAAATATTTCACACACCTTTGTTAAACATAAGCTCCATTCCTGATTCCAGTCAAGCCCATTAAAAAATATTTTATTATATTTTTAGCTTAGGGCTGTGTGAAATCTGCCCCTTTATTTCTTTGGATATTTCTGCCTTGGCACATCTCGGTTTGCATTGCATTTGGGACACTTTTCCGTGAAAATGGATAAGTGATTTTCACACTACAGGTTCGAATAATTTATTGCACATTGCAAGTGTCTTTTTATCAACACTTGGCTTAACTATATGTCACATCTTCTGTTCAACCATGGATATGCCTTAGACTCTTAAGCAGTTCCAAATTAAGTGTAGATCCAAATTAAGTCAAAATTGGCTTGGCTCTACACCCACTTGCACATTCCAGGTGTGACTGTGGCTTCATTCGCAGGAGAAAGTCTGTTTTCTGCAGAGTTCATCTGCAGCATTCAAAACAGAACCATGCGTGAGGTCAATACTTTTAGCTTTTGTCTTTGCACTCTGGGATTCCAAGCTGCAGAAGCTTCACACCCCACTCTTGAGCCATCAAGTGACCACAGGTACTGCCTCTGATACAGCCTAAGTCCCAGGGCCTAGTCCTTGTCTACTCACCATGAGTACTTGCAGTTGAGGGTACAAATGACACCCCTTTATGTGCAGCAGCAGCATCAACCAAGAGTATTGCTTTTCTGTATTTCTGTTTAAAATCTTCTGCTGAAACATTCTTGCTGTTTCTTATGCTGGAATCATGAAGAACTATTGAACAATCGAGCTGCACTTTCACGGTGCTTAGCAGCTAACTGCCTCACAAGGAATAAAACTACTTCTTTTTGTCTCCTGCTACCACTCCAATAGGGAAAGGTCAGAGAAACAGTGGGAGATCCAATGAAGGAAGATATATTCCTACCACCCCCTCCAGGACGCTGCGAATGTCACAATTCACAGCACAGAGATAGAAAGGGGGAGAGCTCTTTCAAAGGAACATCTTCCTTCTTGCCTCCTACTGTTGGTTGATTGTTGGGTAATATTGGGGTTTTTTTCCCTGCCTGAAGTGAACAAGCAGAAGCTTGTCTGTGTGCCTAGTGAAATTCTAATTTATTTGATATTGTTGTGCAGAAAAAGAGTGTAGGTAGAGTCTGCCCATTACTTATCTCAGTTTTGATTCTTTTGATGACCATCTGGCACAGAACCCTTGACTGTAAACACCTGTCCATTTGTGTGGATAACAGCACGAAGCAATCCTAGGACTCTTAAAGTTAACCCCGACCCTACAGAGTGACTTAGTGTTAGTTAACCCTAACAGCCATAATAAAAGATAACATATTCGGATTTCAGTTGCATTTTCTATTACAGAGGTGGACAGAAATGTTATGCATATTACAGTGTTCAAGTAAAAAACCTGGCACTGCTTT